GCTACCAACAACAATTTTACTGGAGAAATTTCACCATTGCTTTGCAATATGAGTTCTCTTATGTACCTTGACTTGTCAAAAAATAACTTGAGTGGCATGCTTCCCCAGTGTCTCGGAAATTTCAGTGATGGTCTAATCCTTTTACTTCTTGGAAACAACTCCTTTCATGGCATGATGCCTCAATCATACACCAATGGAAGCAGTTTAAGGATGATTGATGTTAGTCATAACCAATTGCAGGGGCAATTACCGAGGTCATTGGCGAATTGTGTGATGCTTGAGTATCTGGTTCTGTCAAATAATCAATTCAGTGATGTGTTTCCCATTTGGTTAGGGACTCTCCCAGAGTTAAAACTTTTGGCAATGCGCCATAATCGCTTCAAAGGTGTAATAGGACAGTCTAGAACAAGTGTTGACTTCCCCAAGTTACGCATTCTTGATTTGTCTTACAACAATTTCACCGGTGAGATTCCACCTTTGTTTCCAGATATTACTGTAAACAAGTCAACATATATGTCCATAGACGTAGTCTATCCAGTCGATGGTTTTTATATTGTTCAGAGTGTTGCTTACACAATCACATTGGCAATTAAAGGTTTGGATCAAAACTATTCAAGGATTCTAGAAGGGTTTGCAGCCATTGATATCTCAAGCAACAAATTTGAAGGAAAGATTCCAGAGTTCATTGGGAACCTTACGGAGCTTCGCTCGCTGAATATTTCCAGCAACATTCTCACTGGTTCTATTCCATCATCCTTGGGGAACTTAAGGAATCTTGAATCGTTGGACCTTTCACGAAACAAGCTCTCAGGACTGATCCCCCAACAGCTGACTAAGCTTACATTCCTTGGGAGCTTTGATGTGTCTCACAACAATCTCACAGGTCCTATACCGCAAGGTACCCAACTTCTTACATTCAACAGCACTTCTTATGAGGGAAACGCAGGATTGTGTGGAGATCCATTACCAAAGAAATGCGGAAATCAAGAGGCCCCTCAACCGCCACCTTCAACTGAAGAAGACGGTGATTCAGGCTCAGCTCAAACACTTGAATTTGATTTGAAATTTTGTTTAGCTGGAATTGGAAGTGGGTTTGTAGTGGGAGTGGTTCTCGCGGATGTCGCCATCACAAGAAGGCAGGAGTTGTTTCTTAAGATTGTTGGAATGGTGAGGCTAATGATACGGAAAGGGTAGAGTGGGGGATGTAGAAGTATAGTTTGTTATAAAGTCATGCATTTGGAGTAGTACGTTTTTTCTTGTTTTTTTCTTCCTTCTCCTTCCATGTAACCGTGCTCTATCTTTGGAGTTGTCCTGTGGGTAGACTGGGGGATGCAGAAGTATAGTTTGTTATAAGGTCATGCATTTGGAGTTGCTTTCTTGTTTTTCTTTCATTCACGTAACCTTGCTCTGTCTTTCTAGTTGTACTCTTTGTGGTGGTTATGCTAATTAATGCAAATAAAGGTGTATTTGGATTTTCTGCATTCATAATGTAATAAAATGATTTTAATCATTAATTGAGCACAGAGTACATTGGATGAAATGAAATTGAAGCTTTCCAAAGCCTCACATGAATATACCTACAATAGTTGCTGCTAATTGCAAAAGAGCAAAGAGTACATTGGGTGCAATTCAATCACCTGCACTGCACCCTAACCCAATGCAACTCTCTCCGCCGCATCCCTTCATTCCTATATCTCCTATTTATTTTCTCTTCATTTCAAAATGCTTAAAATACAGAAACCAAATTAACCCTGGATTTTCCAAATTTTTCTCAGTAACCAAATTAACATCCTGCAGTTCACAAAACTCTATACTAAAAAGAGAAACAATGAAATGTTCACGGTCATAATCAAATGCCTAAACAATTTCCTATTTAGGTGAAACTTTATAGGGACCGTCAACCGATCCTTGAATTTTGACTTAATTAAAACTTGACAAAAATAATTAAGAACGTAGAAAATGAAGAATGAGTCCCTAAAGAAATACTAAATTATATGTTTGATCTCCGTAATTTGACTGACTTTTCATTTTATTTCTTGTCATTTCAATTTGGTCTGCAATCAAATTCAATTAATAAGTTTCATCAAAATAATAGAGATGAAATCTGACGTACGTTTGGATGAAGAATTGAAAATTACATAGAATTCTAAAATGATGTAATTTAGTTTTCCATCATTTTAATTTCTGGCAATTGAAGATTTCAGTGTTTTGATTTATATATATTGAATATTGTAAATTACACTATGAAAATTTTGAAATGACGCATATTTTAGTGAAAATTAAACTCGGGAATTTGATGCCCAAATTTTCACGATTTTTTATGCACTTCATTTAATAAATTCCGAGTTTAAGTTATCAATGTCAATTTCTCCTTTTAAACTCCCGACTTTTTAGGTAAATTTCAAACCTCATCCAAACGGAGGGTAAAGAAACCCAAAGGAAAGAGAAAACAAACAGTACATATGTTTTGTTTCTTTAATGAAGAATTGAAAATTACATAGAATTCTAAAATGATGTAATTTAGTTTTCCATCATTTTAATTTCTGGCAATTGAAGATTTTAGTGTTTGGATTTATATATATTGAATTATGTAAATTACACTACGAAAATTTTGAAATGACGCATATTTTAGTGAAAATTAAACTCGGGAATTTGATGCCCAAATTTTCACGATTTTTTATGCACTTCATTTAATAAATTCCGAGTTTAAGTTATCAATGTCAATTTCTCCTTTTAAACTCCCGACTTTTTAGGTAAATTTCAAACCTCATCCAAACGGAGGGTAAAGAAACCCAGAGGAAAGAGAAAACAAACAGTACATATGTTTTGTTTCTTTTATTTACTATTATTTAAAGTCCCAAGCTCCTCAGGAGGTCTTCCTTACAACAAATTACCCACCTAAAGCAATTCTCCTCAAGAACCAAACCAATACTGTAAAAACAAAACAATCAATGATGAAAGGACAACCCCTTAAATGTGAACTCTCAAGAGGACAAAAGAAATCTCACATGTGGTGCCAAAACAATTTCCACAAAACAAAGACTCAAAAGTCAAGCCAGGAAATTGAAGAAACGATGAGGAAATCCCCGAGAAAGAGCTGATGTTGAACACGTCCAATACCCATAAATGCATTGCTTCTTGACTTGAAGTCAAACACGTATATGTTTATTGCTCAACCATTTGATCACGTGGCCTGTCCATAGATAGATAGCTCTCCAGCTTTCACTTTCACAGATGATTCTTTAGCTAAGGGCATCTCCAGTCATAGGGTTAAATATCAAAAAAAAATTACTGTTGTTTCATCTCGTGTAGTTGCTAAGGGCATCTCCAGTCATAGGGTTAAATATAGTTCAGAGTTATAAATTTAGCCCTCCAAAATATTAATTTTTTAAAGAATAGTGTAGGGCTAAATTTTTCCATCTCTAGCCATGCATGGCTATATTTTAGAGTCCTTCATATTTTATTATTTTGAGAAAAACTATGGTACAATACTCATACATACATTGATAACATTTAAAAAGGCTATTTAAAAAATTAAAAAAAAATCCTAACGGCTAGCTAACGTCAGCGCGCCTTTAATATTGGATGTTGGATATGCATTTGCACGAGATGTTTCGTGCTCTTGCCCACACTTGATAATTTCTCTTTTTGAGAAGCACGTGCATGGGGCCCATAAAAAAATTTGGCCTAGGCCAAAGCTGGGTTACAATTGGCCTGATTAAAGGGCTAAAGGGCCAAATGTGGCCCTCCAAATTTAGCCAAATCACATTTGGCCAAAAAAAATTTCAGCCTATGGCTGGAGATGGATTTTGCATTATTTTAGGGCTATATTTGTCATATAGCAAATTGACTTGAAGTTTCGTAGCACCTAAATTTAATGGCAAATTGACTTGGCCTTTTTTCTTTTGTTTCGAATTGACAT